CCCCCACTTCCTGGGGTGACCTCCTTGGCCAAACCTCCTTTGCGGCCTCCCCACCACAGCTCCTCGCTCACCATCTCTGGAGTAGCTTCTCACCTCACATCCACACAGGGTCTGCTGCTGTGGAGACCCCCACTGGGAACTGGGGTCCTAACACCTCCCTTACTAGCCTGGCCAGGTCCCTGCCTGGAGCCCCTCCACATCCACGCTCCTTCCGTCCTGCTTCAGCCATGTCTCCTTCCTCACCAGGATGTGGCTTCATTCAGGTACAAATTCAAGCCCAAGATGAAGCTCACCCCCAGCCAGTCCACCCACCCTGCTTTCTCTCCCCCTCTGCCACCCGCCCTGTGTCTGCCCAGGGCGTCCCCAGTGTCATGTTGCCTAGTCTCCCAGCCAGTCTGGCCCGCAGCTCCCCGGCCTTTCTTGCCCCATGCTTTTGCTCAGGAGCACCCCACCTCTCCAGGTACCCATGCTGCCCCTCTGCCCATTGCTCTTTCCCTCCTGCAGGAGGCACCCCCACTCCCTCCAGTGAGATGCATCCTTGAGGCCTCACCCCCTGTGAGCCTCCCCCACCAGCAGGAGACCGGGGTCTGAGCCTTCACACACGCTGATCCCGGTGTTTGGAACGCCACTTGTCATTCAGGTCCCATCAGACCCTTGGCCAGGGATGGGGGTTCCTCTGCTGGGCTCACGGGTCCCCACGCCTTGCCCATCACTGTTGGCAGTCCTCTGGATTGGAACTACCTGCCTATTTGCCTGTCCCCAGGGGTCAGCTCCTTGGGGTGGGGCTCCAGCAGTGAGATGTGTTATTGGAGGAGCATCACCTGCCAGTCCTCTCTCCTCTCCCCTGGGCTCTCCTGTCCCCACGTCCTGAAATGTGAGCTCACCCTTCTCCCCTCCCTCCACATACCCTGGGCCCCGTCTTGCACTGAGCCCAGGTATATGGGCCAACACTTCAACCCAAAGCATTTGACACCAAGCCCAAGCTCTTAACACCTGGCCTGCTAGGGCTGGATAGGACCCTGGGTCCCCCACTGCATCCCAATGCCAGAAGCTTCAGTGGCAGGATCTGTGGCGTGTTTTCTCTTTTAATCATGACTCACTGTTCTGAAGACACCATAGTGCAAGAACAGTGCATTCCGTGGAGCCCACCCTGCATGAACGCATTTATCAGCACAGCCCAGGATCAGCTAAACACCATGTCTGAGGGATTTGCATTTCCATTATTCCTCTTCCCCAAGAATCAGCCAGGACCCTAAGAGAAGGCAGGGCAGTTTGGGGGTGGGGACGATGCCTTCAGGGCCACCAGCCCCTGGAGCGAACAGTAAGCATGAAAGCATAGCCCGGCCTCCGGCGGACCAGCATCCACCTTCCCCCAAGCATCACCTTGGTGAACAAGAGACACCACAGGCAGGGAATGGTCTTCCACCTTGGGGTTTCTACTCGGTGATTTTACCATGGTCCTGCATGAGCCATTATCTGCTTTTACCTATTTGTTCAACACTGATGGCTTTATTCAGCAAAAGTTTGCTGCGTACCTACATGGGGCAAGTATCCTTCTAGATATTGAGGACATAGATGTGGACAAGACTGATCCAGGTGAAGCAGAAATGAACAAGTCATCTCACAATTCACTAATTAATGACACCACAATGAGAGCCAGGAAAGAGAAAGAAGTAGGGATGCCCACACCAGGGATTTTACCAGGAAGGGCCTCAGATGGCTTCTCAGGGGCAGAAGCCCCAGAAGGGGGTGACCAAGGAGAGGAGGAGAAGGCTGAGCCGGGGGTGCAGTGCAAGATGGGAAGGGCTCTTCCTGCCTTCCTGCTGGGTGTTAGCTGGCATCCTGACGGTGCCATCACTGGGCACGTTTGCTCTCGCACTCAGCAGGTATTTGTTGAGATGTGACTCTGGCCTGGTTCTGTCCTAGGCCCTGGGTCTGTGGACATGCAGGTAACACCCACGTCCTACCGTCAGACGCCTGATGCCATAATGGGAAGACAGAGGGTTCTGAAATGTCTCCTAGGGCACTTCCCCGCTCCCTTCCCTTCCGATGTGCCCCTTCTGCCACATGGCTTAGCCTTGACATTCTTGCTTCTAGAGGGGGTGGAGACCCCTGAGAACAAGGGAATTGCTGCAGCGGGGACATGGAGCCTCTGACCTAGGGAACTTCCCACCTGCTGTGAAGAGAAGTCTGGAAGACAGTGGGGCGGCAGGTGAGGAAGGTCCTTAAAACCCCCAGAGACTTCCAGGAATGTGGCCAGAGCCCTGGAAAGTGCGCAAGGGCTCACTTGGGTGGGGTCTACAAACCTCAGAGGAAAATGTCTTGGGTAACACCTGCACACTGCCCCTCCCCCAGGCACTGCAATGTCCCTCAGGACTCTGCCCACCAAGACCCTGGCCAATCCATCCCCCACCCCAAAGCCAGGTGAGCTACTAGAAACCACATCCAGACTTCTGACCTTTACGTCTGTAGAAGTAAGAAACTTGGAAGTTGCTACTCAGTCTTAAAAGTAAAAAACTGAACAGCTAAAAAATGGACATCTCTGCCTAGATCCACAAGAGAGATAAGGTCACAGTGCAAACTGCTGTTTCCCAAACTGGAAACATGGACAGGTGAAGACAGAGAACCATAGCTTATGGGAGCAGAAGTGTTCACCTGAGCTGCAATTGATGAACTGCTTGAAGCTCCACGTGCACAAGTGTGAGAGTTAAAAACTCCATGGGAGGAGATAGTCATAGATTCCCGCATGCTTTTGTGAGTCTTAGTCCAGGAGCTCAGTCTGGTTTTCACAAGTGACTGTTGGAGTAAAATCCCCATGCTCCCCGCAGGTGGAGGGTAAAGCAACCACTGTGAAATACGCTGGAGCACTCTGCTCTTCCTAACAAGGCCTGCCCTCAGGGGAGACGAGTTGACCAGAGCCTAACCAGCTGGCATTTTATCAGAGCCTAACTGGCCTGGGCAGGAAAATAGCCAACTGCAGCCCCCCTCTAGCATCTTGTCCCACTCAAGAGAGAAGCAATGAGAAGCAATGTGAAGTTCACAGTCCACAGGGAGAGGCTCACTAAAACACTAAACTGTAATCACAGGACCGTAGAACACTTCCCTTCCCACCTCACCACCACATTACTAAAAGGCCTACTTACAGCAGGTCCTTTTATCAGCACTGCATGTCTGGCTATCAAGAAAAAAATTACAAGGCATCCTAAAAGGCATGTCACACCACTTGAAGAGACAGAGAAAGCATTAGAACCAGACCTAGATATGGCAAGGAGGTTGGAATGATGAGAATGAGAATTTAAAGCAACTATAATAAATGTGCTAAGGGCTCTCAGGGAGAAGTAGGCTGCATGCAAATACAGGTGGCAAGGTAAGCAGAGAGGTGGAAATTCTAAAACAAAGAACCAAACAGAAAAGCTAGAGATAAAAACACTGAACAGAAATGAAGACTGCCTTTGGTGAGCTTATTAGCAGACTGGACATGGCTGAGGAAAGACCCTCTAAGCTAGAGGACGTCTCAGTAGAAACCTCCCAAACTGAAAAGCAAGGAGAACAAAGACTGAGAAACAGAAGAGAGTATCCAAGAACTGTGGGACGGTTACAAAGGCGTGACATGGATGTGATGAGGACACCAGGGAGAGAGGAAAGTGAGAAGGGAACACAAGAAATATTTGAAACAGTGATGACTGAGAATTTCCCCAAAAATTAATACCAGAAACCAAATCACCAATCCAGGAAGCTCAGAGAATACCAAGAAGTATAATGCCCAAAAATCCACACCTAGGAATTTAGTTTTCAAACTACAGGAAACCAAAGATAAAGAAAAAAATCCTGAAAGAAACCAGAGGAAAAAAAGCACATGGCCTGTAGAAGGATAAAGAGAAGCATTACATCCAATGTCTCCTCCAAAACTGTGCAAGCAAGGAAAGAGTGGAATGAATATTTAAAGTACTGAGAGAAAAAAACCCCCCACAAATCTAGAATTCTGTATCCTGTGAAATTACCCTTCAAAAGTGAAGGAGAATTGAAGACTTTGTCAGATAAAAATTGAGGGGATTCATTGCCAAGAGGCCTGCCTTTCAAGGAATATTAAATGAAATTCTTTCAAGAGAGAGAAAATGGGTCAGAAATATGGATCATCATAAAATAAAGAGGAGCATAGGAAAGGAATAAGTGAAGGTAAAATAAAACTTTTTATTTTTCTTATTCTTGATTGACCTAATAGATAACAATTGTTTCAAAATAACGATACCAACAATGTATTTAATTATGTATACTTATGTATGTATCCTATGTATATGTCATATATATGCTTATGTGTATGCAGATATATAAGTGAAATGAATGACAGCAATGGTACAAAGTATAGGAGGGAGAAACTAGGATTGTTTTATTATAAAGTACTCACAGTACCAGTGAAGTGGTATAGAGTTATTTGAAAGTGCATTTGGATTAGCTATAAATGTGTATTTCAAATTGCAAAGCAACCACTGAAAAAAGAAATATAACTGATAGGGTAAGAAAGGGTAGAAAATGGAAGCATAGAAAATATTCAACTAAAATTGCAAAAAACAGATTTGCAAGAACATGGATGAACTTTAAAGGCATTGTCCTAAGAGAAAAGTCAGACAGAGAAAGATAACTACTGTATGATCTCACTTGTATGTGGAATCTTAAAAAGTCAAAATCACAGAAACAGAGAGTAAAATGTGGTTCCCAGGGACTGGGGTGTGGACAAAATGAGGAGATACTGGTCAAAGGGTACAGGCTTCCAGGTATAAGATGAATAAGTCCAGGAGATCTGATGTACAGCATAGCTAACAACACTGTATTGCATACTTGATGGTTGCCAAGACAGTAGATCTTAAAGTTCTCAACACACACACACACAAAAGGTAACTATGTGAGGTGAGGGATGTATTCACTAACTTTATCATGGCAATCATTTCACAATATACATATATATCAAACAATCATGTTGTACATCTTGAATTTATAAAATTTTATTTGTTAATTATACCTCAATAAAGTTGGGGGCGGTGGGAAGAGTATTTACTTTAACACATAAATCCCCAAATATCAAGAACTTAACACAATAAATATTTCTTATTCAAGAAAAAAAATGCCCACAAAAGGCAGAAAAAGAGTGGAAGACAAAAATAGGAAAAACAGAGCAGTAGCAACAAATATGAAAGTAACAAATATGGTGGATATTAATCCAACTATATCAATAATCAATTTGAATGTCAATGGTCTAAATTCACCAACCGAAGAAAAAAATTGGTAGAATGTATCAAAAAACAAGAACTAACTGTATGTTGTCTAAAAGAAACCCATGTAAAATATTAAAACAGAAATAGGTTAAAAGTAACTTAATGGAGAAAAATACACCATGCTAACACTAATCAAAATTAAGCAGAAGTAACTATATTAATTTCAGACAGAGCAGAACTCAAAACAAAGGATGTTATCAAGAATAAAAAAGGTCATCATATAATGATAAAGGAGTCAATTCTCCAAGAAGACATAATAATCCTTAATGCCTAACAACAGAGAATCAAAATATGTGAGGCAAAAACTAATCAAATTTCAAGGAGAAATAGATGAATCCACTATCATAGTTGGAGACCTCAACACCCCTCTATTGGACACGGACAGGCCAGGCCCAGGAGGCAGAAAACTAGTAAGGACATATTTGAATTCAGCAACGCCATCAATCACCTGGATAAAATTGACATCTGTAGATGACTTCATTAAATAATAGCAGATTACATGTTCTTCTGTAGCTCACATGGAACATTCACTATGATAGATCACATTCTGGGCATAAAACACACCTTAACATTTTTTTAAGAATAGAAATCATATAATGTCTGCTCTCAGACTACAATGGAATTAAACTAGAAATTAACAACAAAAAGAACACTGGAGAATCCCCAAATACCTGGAGATCAAACAACACACTTCTACATAATACATGGATCAAAAAAGAAATCTCAAGCTATATTTTAGATGTTTTGAATTAAATGAGAATGAAAAGATAACTTTTCAAAATTTGGGGGATGCACCAAAACAGTACTTAGAGGGAAATTTGTGGCATTAAGTGTGCATATTAGAATAAAAGGAAGATCTAAAACAGTCATCTGAGCTTCTACTTTAGGAAACTAAACAAAGAAGATCAAATCAAATCCAAAGTAAACAGAAGAAAAGAAATAGAGCAGAAATCAATTAAATTGAAAACAGGAAATCAATTGAGAAAACCAATGAGACCAAAAATTGGTTCTTTGAAAAAGCTCAATAAAGTCAAAGAATCTATCTAGTCTCACTAAGAACAAAGAGAGGACTCAATTTACTAATACCAGAAATGAAAGAGGGGCACCACTATAGATCCCATGGACATTAAAAAACTAATCAAGGAATACTATGTCCACAAATTTGATATCCTACATGAAATGGACCAATTCCTTGAAAGACACAATCTGACAAAGCTCACACAAAAATAGTCAATCTTAAGGGACCTATGTTTATAAAGAAATTAAAGTGATAATTAATGACCTTCTAAAACAGAAAGTACCAGACCCAGATGGATTCACTGGTGAATTCTACCAAAAATTTAAGGAAGATATTATATCAATTCTCTACAGTCTCTTTAGAGGATAGAAGTGGAAGGAGCATTTCCTAACTCATTCTATGATGCTGGCATTACCCTAATTCCAAAGGCAAAGACATTACAAGAAAAGAAAACTATAGACCAATATCTCTCATGAACACAGATGCAAAAATCCTCAACAAAAGATTACTAAATCAAATTCTAGAGTGTATAAAGAGAATTATAGACACAGCTAGGTGGAATTTATTGCAGGTATGCAAAGCTGATTCAACATTCAAAAATCAATTAATGTAATCCATCACATCAACAAGCTAAAGAAGAAAAAGCATATAATCATATAAACAGATGCGGAAAAAGCATTTGACAAGATTAAAAGCCCATTCATGATAAAAACTCTGAGTTAACTAAGAATACAGGGGAATTTCTTCAAACTGATAAAGAATGTCTACAAAAAAATCTAACATCTTATTAAACAGTGAGAAATTAGAAGCTTTCCCAATAAGATCATGAACAAGGCAAAAAAGGTCCTTCTCATTATTCCTTTTCAACATTTGTCTGGAAGTTCTAGCTAATGCAGTAAGACAAGAAAATGAATTAAAAAGTATACTGATAAGAAAGTAAGAAATAGAACTGTCTTTTTTGAAAATGACATGATTGTCTATGTGGAAAATTCAAAAGAATTGACCAAAAAAAAAAAAAACCCTCCTAGAACTGAGTATTTATATCAAGGTTGTAAGATAAAAGGTTAATATACAAAAATCAATCATTTTCTTATACCAGTAATGAACAAGTGGAATTTGAAACAAAAAACACAGGACCATTTACATTAACACATCAAAAATGAAATACTTAGGTATAAATCCAACAAAATATGTATATACATATATGAGGGAACTGATGAAAGATATGAAAGAAAAGCTAAATAAGTAGAGATATTCTATGGGCATGGGTAGAAAAACTCAATATTGTAAAGATGTCACTTTTTCCCAACTTGATCTGTTCAATGCAATCCCAATCAAAATCCCAGCAAGTTATTTTGTAGATACCAACAAACTGATTCTAAAGTTTCTATGGGAGCAAAAGTCTCAGTATAGTCAACACAACAAAGAAGGGAAGAACAAGGTTAGAGGACTGACATTACTCAATTTCAAGACTTACTATAAAGCAACAGTAATCAAGACAGTGTAGAATTGATGAAAGAAAAGACAAATAGATCAATGGAACAGAACAGGGTGCCCAGAAATAGAGCCATGTAAATATAGTCAACTGATCTTTGATAAGGAACAAAGACAATACATGAAGAAGAATAGCCTCTGCCACAAATGGTTCTGGAATCCAGGTGGGCATCCACGTGGACAAAAATGGAGGTAGACACAGATCGATCATACATCCTTCACAAATATTAATTCAAAACATATCACAGACCTAAATGTAATATGCTAAACTAAGATTCTTAGAAGACAACAGAGGAGAGAATCTCGATGGCCTTGGGCTCAGTGATGACCTTTCAGACATCAAATCCACAATCCTTGAAAGAGAGAGTTGATAAACTAGATTTCACTAAAATAAAAAGTTCTGCTCTGCGAAGGACATAGTCAAGACAATGAGAAGGCAAGCCGCAGACCTGGGGAAATATTTTCAAAAGACACATCTGATAAAGGATTATTATCCAAAATACAAAAAGAACTCTTAAAATTCAACAGTAAGAAAACAAATAATCCAAATAAAAATGGGCCTAAAGACCCTGCCAAAGAAACAGTGAGATACCTCTACACACCCATGAGAATGGCCCTCCTCTGAGGCCCTGACAACACTGAATCCGGAGGAGGGTGTGGAGCAACAGAAACTACTCCCATTCATTCTGGTGGGGGTGCCAAATGGTACAGCCACTTAGGAAGGCAGCTGGTCAGTTTCTTACAAAACTGAAAGTACTCTGACCATACAATCCAGAGGGCACCCTCCAATGAGGTGCAAATTTAGGTCCACACAGAAACCTTCACCCAGGCGTTTACAGAAGCTTTGTTAATAATTGCCCAAACTCAGAAGCAACCAACATGTCTTTTAGTAGGTGAATGGATAAATAAACCGTGTTCCAGACACTGGAAGATTATTCAGTGTTGAAAATAAGTGCACCATTGGTCCATGAACATGGAGGAACCTCAATGCATGTGACTGAGTGAAAGAAGCCAGTCTGAAAAGCCTACAGAGTCTATGATTCCAACCGTATGACCATCTAGAAGAGGCAAAACTGTGGAGACAGTAAAAATTTGAGTGTCTGCAATGGGATAGAAGGGAGGAGGGATGAATAGGCAGAACAAAAGGACTTTTTAGGGCAGTGAAACTACTCCCTGTGGTACCATAATGATGGATACAGGTCATTGTACATTCGTCCACATGCAGAGAGCGCACACCACCAAGAGTGAACCCTAACATAAACTGGAGGCTTTGGGTGGTAAGGATGCACATGATGAATTGTATGTGTCAACTGTGCTGGGCCAAGGGATGCCCGGATCACTGGTAAAACACTGTTTCTGGGTGTGTCTGTGAGGATGTTTCGGGAACAGATCAGCAGGTGCTCCCATGGGCCGAGTAAAGCCGATCTCCCCCACCAGTGCAGGTGGGCACCATCCAGCCCACGGAGGGCCCAGACAGACCGAAGAGGTGGGGGAAGAGCGCGTGGGCTCTTCGAGCTGGCACCTCCATCTCCTCCTGCTCTCAGGCGCTGCTGCTCCTGGGCCTCAGGCCTTCAGACCCAGACTGGGAGTGAGACCGTCCGTTCCCCTGGTTCCCAGGCCTTTGGACTTGGAGTGACTGGCTTCCCTGGGTCAGCTTGCAGACGGCAGATACTGCGGGACTTCTCAGCCTCCACGACCACGTGAGCCAGTGCCTGCATTTTATATATATATGTATATATTGCAGGGTGACATACGCGTGTGCATCTCCTGCTGGCTCCGTCGGGAGTCCTGACTAAGACAGTGTGGCAGTGCCAGCCTGATGGCTATACCCACACACCTCTCTGGTCCGGGTGTTGATAACCGGGGAGGCTAGAGGATGGGGGCAGTAAGTAAATGGAAAATCTCTGTACCATCCTCTCAATTTTGCTGTGAACCTAAACCTGCTCTAAAACATAAGTGAATAAAAACAACGCATCACGCTCTCCCACAGCCTGCAGAGGTCTCCCTGATCCCTACTGCACCCCGGAAGGAGGCGGACTCTCCTGGGCCTGTCTTCCATCCTGACCCTGCTTCTGCCTGCTGCATGAAAGGCTCATTTCACCTTGTCTGTCTGTCATGTTCCTACACATCCTTCAAGGCCCACTTGATGCTGCCTCCCCAGGAAGCCCTCCTTGACTTCCCTGCTGGCATACCACAACTCCGTGTACTCGTCTCAACTCCAGCGCAGTCCTCAGGGCACAGGACTCGTCTGGTTCCACATCAGCCTCCCCATGGATGTCCAGCTTCTCAGCAGCGGGGGCTGTTCCTCCTGCCCCCGTCCTGCTGTCCGTCCACGTATTCTCCATACTTAGGAGCACACTGCTGTGCGTCGGGCCCAGGATGGGCCAGGGACCTTGCCCTCTGAGGAGCTTCAGGGGAAGCACTGGGCAGATGCCAGGAAGGGGGAGGTGTGCGGTGTGTTCAGCAGTAGGAGTCTAGCCCAGGGAGCCGAGGGATTCCAGGGGGTTCCTGCAAAGTACTCTAAGACTCCCTGCCCCTGATTCTCACACCCCAGCCCTTCCTATTTTCTTATCCTGCCACAGTGTGTGGGGAAGAGCACCAGTGACCCAGAGCAGCGGCAGAGCCCCTGGTGTTTCAGGAGCAGGACCCCTGGGGTGGCGGGACGGGGAGTGGACAGGAGGAACGGTGGGCTGGGGCTGGGGGCCGTGTCTTGATCGCCGAGCTCAGAGTTCTGGCGTGTATGTAAGAGGTGCGAGGAGAATGGAACAGGGAGGGGCCACCATCAGTTATGCACCTGCTGTCGCCATCCTGGACACGTGGGGTCTTCTAAAGACCCTCGCATAGTTCTCAGGACTTCCCTGCAAGTCAGTATTATCTTGCCATTCTTTTGTTCACTCACTTGCTCACTATGTGCCAGGCCTGCTGACAGCTGAACAGTCCCCATACATAGGGGCGAGAGGAGAGGCTGCTCTAGAATACGTAGTGCCAACAGTGACTTAGCGCCTGGACGCGGCAGAGGGAGGAGCTAAGGGCAGCCCCAGGCGTCCTCTGGTGCCCAGCACACCCGAGCTGACTGCTGCTGGGACTGCTGCCCGACACTCATTCCCATGTCAGTTTGTTTGGGGGGCCTCAGGAGAACCTTTGCCCTTCTCCCTAGCATCAGAGACCAGCAAACACTCAGGAGGTGAAGCCTCCGGCCTCCCTGCCCCACCCAGGCCCTTCCCAAGGCAGCAGGTCATCCTTGGCCCACCGGCTCCTGAGCAGAGTGCCTACTCGACAGGGGAAGTGCCACCAGGCTGGTCGCACTTTGTGTGAGTCAGCTGCCCTCTCCTGGCCTCAGTTTCCCCACTGTGGAAGGGTGGGCTCATCTCATTCTGGTTCCAGGGCTCATGACAGTGACAAAGCCCCAGCCTGGGAATGCGGTGGGGGTGGGGGTCCCTGGGTGCGCAGAGGCGGGGCAGAGATGACGAGGGGACAGTTTAACTGGAGAATGCCACAGCCCGGCTGAATCATCTGCACCTTCAGAAGCCAAGAGGCCAATTGCGGCCTTTCATAATCATGATCTGCAAAGTACAGCCTCCGTCACTCAGGCACCAACCGACGAACGGAGCCCACTCTTTGAAATAAACGACTCTCCCATGCCTCCTGACTCTTCCCCAAATAACCTGCTTGCACTTCACAATGAGCTGCCAACAGAAGGGGAGAGTGCAGGAGGCTGTGCACCGCAGACACCTCCAGGCCAGGGCCAAGGTGCGCGCAAGTGGGCAGGGCTAGTCACCCCAGAGCTCTGCTTGGCAAAAGGGCACATGATCCCAGTGGGAATCGGGACAGCAGGTCCCTGTGAGGGGAGGCAGTGAGGCCCACACCTGGCTGGTGTGGGGGCAGCCGTAGTGTTGGCTATCCAGGCCTTAGGAAACAGCTGGCTCCTTTCCCCAAACGACACTGAAGCATGTCCCCGAAAGGTCGCTCTGCTCATCCCAATGGCCTCATCTGAGAGCAGCAGGATGGACTGGGTCCAGGCACTGGTCGGAGCCAGGTGCCCTGCGACTGCCGCAGAGGTTCAGAGAGAACATCTCTGTGTACGTGACCACAGGCCTTGAGAGGTGAAGGCCACCAGCCCTGCTTTGCCCCTTTCCGCTTCCTCCCAGGGACATCTGTTGACCCAAACCCGGCCCTTGGTAGAGCGCTCCCACCAGAAATTCAGAACCGGAGTCCAGAGAGACAGCATGGCAAGGGGAGAGGCATCCCCTGATGTGACAGGGCGGAAGCATGCGGCTGTACAAGCCAAAAAGGCTCTGGGTTTTGGAGGCATCTGGACCCCCCGTTGACTCTCAGTCATCAAGGAAGCAAGGGCACAGCTCAGGTCTGTGAACCACATTCCTGCCACACGTTGGGGTTCAGCCTGCAGCACCAGAGGACATGAGGAATGGTGGCTTCTTTCTCAGTTCACAGGGAAGAAGCTAAGAGAGAGTTTCTCAATGTAAATTTCCCCACTGGTTGTTCTTCGGCCTCCAAGCCCCGCTGCTCCGGGCAGACGTCAGAGCTCTCCCAGGGAAACAAAGTCCAGGCCGGCCGCTTGTTAGGGAGACTGGCATGGCCCTGAAGGGGGTTCATCTGCCGCTGCCTTCAGAGGCGATCGCCGCTCTGTTCCTGGCTGCCCGCTGCTCCGGCAGATGGAGATCTGGCGCGTCTCTGGGGCGGGTGGGCAGTGGGATGGGATGAAGTGTATCAGGGTCCAGGCGGGCTCCCAGCGGGCTCCTGTGCGGCTCTGGCTCTGCAATCCTTACCTCCCCGCGCAGGCTCCTAGGCCCCCCGGCTGGGTTCAGAGCAGCCACCCAGCTGCCAAGGCGCCAGCCCTGGGCAAGTCGGCCTCCCGGGATGAGCACGTCCCAAAACACTTGGCCTCGGCTGAGTCCAGCTGTGGGGACCAGCTGATGAGGACCGGCTGTGGCACTGGGCAGCTCAGAGCACTGTCCCCAGGCAAAACCGGCTGGGGGATGTGCTCACCCTGCTCAGCTTTCGAGTCCAAACTCCAAGCACCTTACGCTCTGGCTGTTGGAGACTTGAACTACTTACAGCCTGCGCCGCCTGTAGGACAGGAACAAAAGGACTCAGAGGGCAAAACTGCCGGCCTCGGTGCCTGCAGGTGCCAGGTTCAAATGTGGCCTCTACCACTTCCTAGCTATGGAGCCCGAGGAAGCCAGTTTCCCCCTCTGGGCCCTGCCTTCTCTGGGATAGTGACGTCCACCAGAGCTGTTGGCAGGTTCAATTACAGAACACAAGAAAAGACCCCGGCACTAAACATCACTCAGAAGACACTGGAAAACATATGCAGTAACGTGTGGCATTGCCAGAAATAAAATAAACTCATGCGCTCACCACGGATCTGAGTCTAAACACTGCAGGGAGTTCCGTAAGGCCCCCAGAATGGAGTGGAAGGCGGATGGCCTGTGGGCCACTGATGACAGGGTACACAGCTGAGGTGGCCCTTCATGTCAAGGGCCAAGGGAGACAGGCAGGGGAAACAGTCCAGGGGCTTGGCTCAAACTGTGGTCTAGAGCCCACTGTCCAGGGGCCGTGTCCTGCTCTGGCTGGCTGTCGTATTGCCTATTTGGTGATAACTTTCCCCCTTCTCCTTCTTCCAGGTAGGAGTGTATGGACCTTCCCCTCATGCTCCATTCTAAAGGATCTGGGGATATTTTTAGCACATCTTCTGCAGCCAACAGATACTGAAAGCTGGCAAGCCATCTCCCTTCCAACTCCTGCCCCACACGGGGGGCACTGCGAGGGAGCATCAGTGGGGGACTCCGGCTGCAGCCCGGGAGGCAGGAGGCCTCGGACTTTGCTCTTGTCTCTCTGCACACGTGCTGTGGGACTCGGGGCAGGCTGACCAGCCTCTCAGAGCCTCCGCTCCTCATCTCTACGGTGGGGTAGTGATACCTATTGTACAAATGATGACCTAGAGGCCTCTCCGAGTCAAAATTCGAAGTAAAACTGGGCCAAGCATTGGCTATCAGCTGCTGTGGACTGAATGTCGGTGACCCCCAAATTCCTATGTCAAAGCACTAATCCCCAGGGGGATGGCATTTGGAGGTGGGGGTCTTTGGGAGGGGGTTATGTCTAGATGAGGTCAGGGGGGTGGAGGCTCCATGATGGGATCGGTGTCCTTACAAGGAGGGACTGGAGAGCTCTCCCTCCCTCTCTCCCCACCGCCACCGGCACATGAGGTGCAAAAGGAAGTCAGCCATCTGCACCTCCCTCAGGGACCAGGGCAGTCAGCTCCTGGATCTCAGACTTCCCGGCCTTCCTGAGGTAGAAAGGTGTGTTGTTTAAGCCCCCCACTCCATGGCATTTGTTAGAGCAGCCCGAGCTGACTAAGGCAGAAACTGGTGCCGAGAAGCGGGTACTGCTGGAACAAATACCTAAAAATGTGGAAGTGGCTTTGAACCAGGTGTTGAGAGTTTTGCGATGCATGCCAGGAAGAGCTGAGGCTATGAGCAGACTGCTAAAGGTAATTGTGGTGAGGGCTCAGAAGGGGAAGCGGGAAGTTGGAGAGGAAGCCTTCGCCTCTCAGAGGATCCACAGAGAATCGTGAACAGCATGTGGGTAGACATGTGGATGTTAAGGGAGATTCCGATGAGGCCTCAGAAGGCAATGAGGAGCAAGTCAGTGGACAGTGGACAGTGGTCATCCTGTTACAAACCAGCAAAGAGCTTGGCTGGACTGTGTTCCTGTCCCAGTGTTTTGTGGAAGGTAGACCTTGCAAGTGACAGAACTGGGTATTTGGCTGAGGGGATTTCTAAGCAGAGTATTGAAGGCGCAGCTTGCTTCCTCCTGTTTATACTAAAGCAGGAGAACACCGAGAGGATGCGTAGAAAGAACTGCTAAGCAAAGAGGAATCAACTCAAAGATTTAGAAAGTCCCCAGCCTATTCCATACCGCCAAAATGAGAAAGCGTGTTGGGAAAAGGACGCCAAGGGTGTGGCTGACCAGCCCGTGCACAAGGAGATTGGCATTGAGATTGGCGTGGGGGTGAGCCAGGCACTGAGCCAACCACCTCGCAGGAACACTGTCCATTTAACCTGACGGGGATGGAGATCGGCTGCAATGAAGCAAAGCTGTGCACTACCTAGATCCGATCGCACAGGATGGAAAAGCGGCCCGGCTGCAAACTTGCCCTATTCCTCAGGAAGAGAGAGAACTGGAGGAAGGTGGTCAGAAGGTAGAAATGTCCAGTTATAAGATACGTAAGCACTAGGGGAGTAATAGGCGGGGTGACTGTCACCGCTGCTGTATGATACCCAGGGAAGTTAGGGGAGCAGATCCTGAGAGTTCTCATCACGGGAGACAGTTTCTTCTTTTTATTGTATCTATTAGAGAGGATGGTCGTTAACTAAACCTATCATGGCAGTCATTTCACAATGTATGTAAATCAAACCATCATGCTATATGCCTTAAATTTATACAGTGATGCATGTCAGTTATTTCTCAACAAAACTGGGGATAGAAAAGAGGAGAATGGCCCCAAAGGTGATTCAGAGATCGGGGCCACCTCCTAGGTGTCAACAGGCCACGTGGCTTCCAAGCAAAGCCATGGGTGCAGGGCTGCGTGGCCCTGTGAAGGGGGTGCAAGCCCTTCCTGGCACAGCTGCTGTCTAATTGTAATTGTTACAGCAGCCCAAACAGATGGAAGCAAGGGCCAAGCATTCAGGGTCCAAAAAGGAATTCAGAATCAGCCAAAGCGGGTACAGGTGAAGAACCTGTATGCCAGTCCCAGTGGGGGTTCAGAAGCCAGACCTCCTGGACTTAACTCCCTTCCCCATCCCTCACTCACTGCTGTGTGATCTTGGGCAAGTCATCAATCCCTCTGTGCCTTAGTTACCATATTAGAAAAATGAAAATAACAGTGGTACTGACCTCCCCAGGCTGCACATCAGGGCCTCAGCGGTCCTGCACAGGCACCTTGCCCACCAGCAGCTCTCGACGGGGCCATCAGTGTGCCTGTCGCGACCGCACGCCTCCCCGCCTTGAAGCTTCTGCAGCTTGTGGTGATCATGTCCCTGGGCCCCTGTATGTTGAGTGTCATAGACTGAGGGGCAGTCACAGCTCTGTGTTCTGGGGTCAGGCAGACAGCCGCCCGGGGCACCAGGCCGGAGGGACGTGAGAGAAAACGCAAGTGCTTTTCCTTTTCCATAACTCAGAGTCTCCATTCTGGGTCTCCATTTTCCTGGAGGCTGACACTGGCCAAGGTCTCCGAGTGAGGTGGGGGGATCTGCAGCTGGCCCCTGGTGTGGTCGGGTCACACCTGTTGTGGGGGGCCAGGGACACCGGTGGCCCCCAGATGCAGCCTTAGTAGGAGTTGGGTTGGGCCGGACCCGGGCGAGGCAGGGATGCAGACAGGCCTGTGTGTGAGAGCCCCGCCCGGTGTCTCCCCCACAAGCATCCCTGTAGCCAGCCGCCATCCAGGTTGACGCCACGGTTAAACCAGCCCTGAAATGCACTGACTGAGGGTTCCTCTCATTTAAGTTACTCTTGAAAGGAAAGGCCCTGGACTCCTGTGTTCCTGGGAGGGCTCTGTGTCCTGCTTTCTCACAAAGGCCCTTGGCCAAAAGCAATGTAAACCAGTCCTGCAATCGAACATTTCCCCAACTGGGCAGCCGCATCACAGCCCGGCCGCACTCCTGCCAACCTGTTGATACAGACAGGCCCCAGCTGCTTGGAGGAACCCCTGGCAGCAGGGAATCAATCCCTCCCCACCCCTCCTCGCTGGCTCCTGGAGGCAGGTGATCCTTTATCCTGGCCTGTGCACATCAGCATCTCTGGCTTGGTTTTCCTTGATCAGCATGAAAGTAAAGTTGAAAACATACTGAGAATCCTCCAAACAGAAAGCCTCGCCCCGGCCCTGTGACGCAGCCCACCTGTAGGCAGGTCGGGCAGGGAGGAAGCAGAGAGGGCAGCGGACCAGGGAGGTCTCTGAGGAAGGAGACCCTGGGCTTGCATGCCTTTGTGTCTGCAGGCTCGGTTGCTAATTGGTCCCTGTGTGCCCACCCTGTGCCCAGAGCTTCACCCACAGCCCTTATTCCAGCTTCAACCCCTGCTGTACACATGGCCTAAAAAGGAGGACAGCGGCCCCTCCCTCAGCACTGTAGCTGATGGGAAGGGGGAACCCTTGTGAGGGCCCTGGGCACGGTGCTCAGCCAGGGCTGCGTCCAGTGCCACCCGGGAGCTGATAAGAGTGACCTGCACCTGAGCACAGGGAGGGGCCTGCAGCCGGGAGGAGGGCTGGGGGTCACCTGCAGAATGTCTGGGGCCCCAGGGTCCTTGCTAGATGTCAGAGTGTGACATCTGGCTCTGAGGCCACCTCCTCATTCCAGCAGCAGGCGCAGGAGGTGGGAGGCAGGGCAAATGAGTGCCGGCCAGCAGGAGGGTCCCTCTGATGAGCTCTCCCAGAACTTCCTCTCACACCTGTTGGCCCACCTTCTGCAAGGGGAGACAGGCCTCGGCCCCACGCTGGACCCACGACAGCTGGACAGGGAGTGGGAAGGGGTCCCTCTGGGCCAGCAGTGGCAGAGCCGCCTGCGTAGGCCACCCTGTTGCCCTCCTCCCCTCTGCCTTGGGGCCTGGATTCCGGGTCAGACTCCCTCTCTCTGCATCTCCCCAGCCAGGCCTGAAAGAGGGAGTCTGATCAGTTCCATTCATCTTTGCACGTCATGCCCTGCCCCCCGGATTGGCTGCCCTCCAGGTGAGAGTCCACCCTGGACTTGCTGGGGCAGCTGACATAATCGGGTGGGTGCGGGCAGCCCCTCGTGGCGGGAGGTGAGTGGCCGTCAGCACTAACGCACACCAGCAAGTCGGGCCGTGGCGGCGGCCGGGGCAGCGCTGCCTGGCAGAGTGGCCCTGGCAATCACCGCACCTTTCTGCTCCCCCACCTCTCTCTGTATGGGGTACCGGTCATCTCCATCTCGTCAGGTACGCTACAGAGGGAATGAGGAAATGCCGGTGCTGGCTGAGCACAGTAAAGGCTCGGAGACGGCTGGCTCTTCGTCTCATCATCAGAGCACCATCATCACCGGGAAAACTGGCCTGGTGTCCGACCTGTCTTCGGGGGCCCCCAGGACCGTCCTAGTGCTTAGGCCCTGAGCCACCTTGCACAGTCTCCCCGGGGCTCTGCTGAGTAAAGGATGTGAGAGGAGGTGGGACCAGGGGGCTGAGCTGGAGGATAAAGAAGCGCTGTGATTATCACAGGCTCGCAGGCTCAGCAGCAGAGAAAGCGCCCGGCAGCCCACCTAGCAATTACCCACAGTGAAGACGGCGAGGGGGCCAGCTGCGCTGCTGTGGGGGGAGGGTGGGGGTGGGGATGAGCTAATTCCTAGTCTTTGTGAGAGGAGTGCAGGAGTGGGGTGGAGGAGGGCGTCTTTTGGAAGATGTCTGAGCCTTCATTCCCTTGTCTGGGCCCTTCAGAATTCCAGTTCTTTTAAAGTGAGGACCGAATGCCCCAGCAGGGCCCCAAGGCCCCACCTGGGCTGGTCCTTGTCACCTCCTATTCTCTGCTACACCCCCCGCACTGCCTGTGCTCCAGCCACCTAGGCTTTCTGCCCAGCTCTTTTCAGACTCAAGGTGTTTGCAAGGGCTGTTCCCCCGACTGGAATGCTGTTCCCTCTGCCCCTTGACTGGCTAACTTGGGCTCCTACTGTGGGTTACTGATGAAAAGTCCCCACCTGAGTCTCCTCAGAGGCCTTTCCCGATCTGTCTAAACAGTCCTTGCTGTAGGGTTTCTTACCGCATGCCCTGAGGCCTATGGGAGCCTCATGTGAGCTCCCCAAACCCCCAGGACACCCTAGGGGGTGACTGGCTCTAGAAACACCTGTTCTCTGCCCAGCCGCCAGCCAGCCAAAGCGCAAAGTTTTACTAACAAGGATCCTTTTCACATGCTCAGGCTGTGGAACTCACGTCTGAGCTAATTAACTCCAGGTTCCACATGAAGGCAGGAGCTGAAAATGAACCCTCCCAGAAAGCCAGTCCCGGCCATTCCCCCAGACTGCAGGGGGCTGGGAAGCCCAGAGAGCGGCTGCTCCCTGCCCCCCATGCTCAGGCAGGCCCTGCTTGGCCAGCCTGTTCCTCTGGGCTCAGCAGAGAGCGTACAGGGTGAGGCACAGGCACCCCAGCATTTAGCTGGGGCCTACCGTGCGCGGATCGGCCTCTCTGCCTGCTGCAGCTCCCCCCGAACTAGGGGGCTGAATGGAGGGCTCCCCGGCCCAGGCCAGTCCAGACCTACTCCCGGGTCCCCAGAGATTTCCAAAATGGTCTTGTTTAAAGACTCTCTCCTGCCTCCTGGATGTCGTAGGAACTGCTGCAACCCTGGGGCAAAACCCAGACAGCAGACTTCTCCCAGCTGGGCCGCCAGGTGAGCACGGTGAACTTATAAGGATAAGGAAACGCTGGGACTGTCACAGGCTCGCGGGCTCAGCAGCAGAGAATATAGGAGCACTTACAGGAGTCCTGGGCCTCACTACGAAACAAGGACGATGCTAGCCATCCCCCAGCCGTGACGCTGAGATTGAAATCATCAGTCAGCATGGTAACAGTGGCCTCGCTAGTTTTTGGTGGCACTGAATGATCTAGACATATCCCTGTGACCTGAAGGCCATGAAGATCCCGAGGAAGATGGAAAGACCCTTTCCCTGGAGCACAGTGAGCACGTGCCTGGGAGCTCCCCTGGACATGGCACACGTGGGGAATTTGCAAAGTGCCTGACGGCCCTGAAACAAACCCCAGCTCCCCTCCTGACTCACTCTCAAGTGCTCTCTCAGGGAAACAAGGTAAGAACAGGTCCTAAATCCCCACCCAAATCCACAGGGCCAGATGTCTTTTAGAATCCAGAGTCTCTTAGATTTCAGAAAAGCCACTGGGGGCACAAACCAACCACGACAGAACAGCCCAGCACAGCCTGGGTGCACCCAGTAGCCCAGGGTCAGTATTCTCCATGGCGAAATGTGTGCACATTCACTGCACGTGATCAGTAAAGACCACAACAGCCTCGTGTCAGTTCAGGCCAGGCTGTGCTGCCAGACTTAGGACACGGGTTTCAGTCTGGCAGGTTCGGGAGTCAGGGAGGGTCACTGGGAGGCCGAGAGGCCATCGCGTGCTGTCAGCGAGCCCTGCTCCTGGGCTGCTCCTGCAATCACACTGGCCTCCTGGGCGCAGTGGCACGGTAACAAGCACGGTGGCAATTGCAGCTGCAGGTGTGTTAGCGTCTGCTGGCAGTGACCCTGCAGCCACCTCCCAGATGGCATGGCCTAACAGGGCGCAGGGCAGTGGAGTTTGGAGAGGCTTTATTGGCACCCAGGGTCCAACTACCCCTGGATGTCACCCTGTCCTTCCTGGACTCAGAGTCCTGCTGACAAAGTCCATATGAGCCAAACGCTGTAATGCAGTCTCCCTCCTGGAAGACAAGGGGGACAGGACACCCCTTTTTCTCACCCTTGCCACAGCAGAGAGCCCCCTGGGAACCAAGGCCCTGGAAAGCTGGGGCAGGCAGCCCTCCCCTGGCAGCAGTGTCCTCCAGGCCAGACCTCAGGACATGTGGGGCAGGAGACAGCGTCCTGATTCAGCAGGGCAGACCCACCGACCAAGCCTGAGAGTCTCCACAAAAGGGACACTCAATTCAAGGGGGTCATTACAGACCGAGCCACCCAGCTGATCAGCGCCCATTCCAGCACAGAGCCTGTTTGCACACCCTTCAGTGAGGCACGGGGGCTCCTGCTTCTGAATGAAGGCTTCAGTCCTGTCCCCCTCGGAGCCTGGCCTCAGAACTGGGGCACGTGCCGAGCAGGGGGGCACAGGCGGGCACACATATTAAATTCCTCTCGGTTTGCACAACTGAGCTCTTGTTTCTCTTCTGAACAGTGTATCTTAGGAAGGGGCCCCAAACAAAGTAGGCTTGCTAAAGCACACACTCTCTTTAAGGGGCCTTTGGTTTCAGCTCCACACTGCTAATTCTGGGTCCACCCAGGGGCCAAAGTCTCCGAGGCTCCTGCCTGGTTTATGGAGGGGTATCACTCAGGAAGTTTAAGGTAAGAGGACCCAGTCTTCACCTGGAGCCCCTCTGAGTCCCAGGGACACCCAGCAACTTTGTCCCACAGTGGCGCCTGCCCAGGCCAGCCTGCTGCACTCCTTCCTGCCCTCGGGTCCCTCCACATACCCCTAGGGCAATCAGTGTCCCCTCCTCTGGTTTTCCCAGAGCTTAGAGAGCTTCCCACTTACTCAACCAATGGGTGAGGGGAGGTGTGGAGGATTTCTTCGCCAGCCCTGTCTCCCCCCATCCCCATCCCCCAGACATTCATTCCAGACAAGTGCTTGCAGGCAGCGTCTCTGAAGTCATCCCAGGACACAGAACAAAGGCTGTGCTTCTTCCAAGATGTGCCAGCCCCGCACGCACACCCACGTCCACGCCCCCCCCTCCTCCAGACCCTTATCTGAAGTCCTAGGTGGCACCCCACCGCAGCTTTGCCAGTGGGCCACTGTCCAGAGTCCGTTTTCTAGGGGTGCTGGGCCAAGGCAAGAAGCATCTCTTCTTTCTCTCTTTCCCCTAATTGCTCGAGGCTAACTTAGAAGAGGGGATGGCCAGCCCCCACCCCCACATCACCCGCTCCTAGAAATCCTGCCCCCAGGGTGATATTCACACTTAGCAATCTGTTCTGCACAGGTTCTCCTCAGAAAGAACAGTCGCTCTGAGATTTGGGGGTGGCCCACAAGACCATTTGCAAGTTCGAGGGGGTTCCTAAAATCACCCTCAGAAGGCCTCACAAACTCACTGGGAGCTGGTAAACTCACAGTTGTAGTTTAATACAGCAAAGGATGCAAATTCACATCGGCCAGGGCAGGAGGCCCACGGGCTGAGCCCAGGTAAGCTCCAGTTGCCGAAAATCCAGCTGTCTTCTTCCAGGGGTGCTGTGGGCAGTTACTCTCCCAGCATCGATGGTGGGACAACAGTCCAGCACCCACCTGAGCCTTGATGTACAGTTTCTACTGGGGTCTCCGTGGTCCTCAGCCCCCAGCCCCTTGGGAGGGTGATCTGATACCATGTGACTCAAAGCCTGTACCCTGAATCGCATTGTTAGACTCTCTGGTGTGGCCCAAAGCCCCAGGTAAACAAGGGCATCCCAAGGGCCAGTAGCTGAGGGCAAAGGCCGGACCTCCTTTCTGGGAAAAGCTAAATGCTTAACTACAGTCACCCAACCAATCAAAATGGGTGTAAACAACAGGTGTGGCCATGCCAGTGTGTTCCTGTTGACTGTCAGCCCATGGAACTGTGGACACTTCCAGAGGTCATCAAGAACAGCGGCCACATCCAGAGGTGTTGTCTGTGCCAGCCTCGCCCTGCATCCCACCGCATCCCACCCAGCCTCGAGCGGCCACCCTGCCGGCCAGGAAGCCCAGGTAACACAGCAACGGGAGGAGGCTGGGGACCGCCGGAAGCTCTCTTGGCATGTGGCACTGACATTCTATGGCACACAGGCAATCTCCAGAGCCAGTCGAGACTCAGAGAGCAGCTTCCACATGGATCCCAAGGTCAAACATTTACTGGACCAAGGCCCAGTGCAGCCAGGGCTGATTCCCAGAAAGACCACAGGAGTAACTTGCTCCTGAAGCAAAGCCAAGTTTGCTCCTTGCCTCTACTTCCTGCTACTTCCCACGTCCTGCTGCCCGCTGCCTGGACGGGACCTTCTTCAGGTCTCAGGAAGGGGACTTGAGGGACATGGCCCTACTGTGTGTGGGGTCTGGTTTTGCCCCTCTAAGGCAGGCCTCACACTGCAAGGATGGCAAGCTGTTTAGCTTTGTTTACCCTCATAATTTTCTTTAACCGTGGTACCTGCACATACCCGAAAATGGACCCTCTTAACCATTTTCAGTTGTGCAGGTCGGTGGTATTAAGCTCATCACATTGTGGTGCAGCCACCCCCCCACCCATCCCCAGACCTCCTTCATCGTCCCCAGCTGAAACTCTGTCCCCAGTGAGCGCTGACTCCTCACCCCTCTCCAGCCCCCGGCATCCACCACCTGCTTTCTGTCTCTGTGAACCTGACTCCCCCAGGGACCTGGGACAGCGGGGATCATACAGGACATGTCCTTGTGTGACCGGCGTACCTCACTCAGCATGATGTCCTCAAGGGTCACCCACGTGGTAGCCTGCATCAGGATCGCCTTCCTTTCTAAGGCTGGATAATCTCGCGTTGTGTGGATGTCCCACTTTTGTTTACGGGTGACCATCCATCCCCCAGTGGACCCTTGGGTGGCCCCCCACCTATTGGCTATTGTGACTCATGCCGCCATGAACACGGGTGCGCAAGTACCTCTCTGATTCGCGGCTCCATTCTTTGGGGAGGATACCCAGGCGAGGAACCGCTGGATCAAATGGTAATCCCATATTTAATTTTTTGAGGTTTTGCTATAGGAGGGGTGGACACAGTGGGGGGAAGTCCTGACACTGCACTTCCGTAAGCGAGCCACCTTCCCCCTTGAGGGTCCGTTGGCCTGAGAAGGGCACGTCGGTCCACATGGGTCCCTGTGGGAGCCTTCAGCTCCATGCCCCCTGCTCCCATGCCAGGCGGGCTGGGCCAGCAGCAAGTGGGCTGCCCCCCAGACCTGGAGTCCAGGCAGAGGAGAGGGTCTGTCCCAGAACTTCTGTTACTCACCCTTGGGGTGCTGTGCCCACACGACTTAGAAACACCAGGGCACCTCCTCCTCCCCACCCCACCCAAGTGCAGGTGCATTTTCTACAGCTGCAGCGCTGGCGCTGTCCCTGCAGCAAAGTGCCATGCACCACACCCAGGAGGCGGGCTGGACCGCCGGGCTCCAGGAGGTGCAGGACGGAGGGCCCAGGGCTCCCCTGCACAGTGCCAGGAGCCGGGCTTTGGGGCCACTGAGGGGGCCGTGTGCAGCCTGGGGGGTCAGGAAGTCCACCTGGGACAGGGGAGTGTAAGGAGGGGCTTCCAGGACTCTGGAAGAGTCAGGACGCCCACTCCCCTCAGCCACTGACAGTCCCCCTGAGTTTCTCTGTCCCCCAGCCCTGCACCACCCGTGTACACTTTCCCCGCCCACTCCAGGTGGATGGGGCAGATGCCACCTCTGGCCAAGCTCCAGGAGGGCCACCTTCCGCCCTGTCAGTTACCCTGAGATGCCCATCACCCAGTCCACGTGACCCTGGCCAGCCAGCACAGGGAGGGCTGGGGGTCAGGGCTAGAGGTTGGAACCATGGCCCAAGGATCCAGCCTCTAGGGACACACAAGTCAACCAAGAATTACAGTGTGGTGACGAGCGTGAAACCAGAAGCTTTGTGAGCAGGAGGACATGCGCCCGCCTGGGACTCCGGGGGGATCAAAGGACACTGTGCGTGTGCCTCCCAGGCAGAGGTGCAACAGCTGCTTTCTGAGTGACCCGAAGGCGTCCCTTCCCCCAGCTGGGCCCTGTTCCTCCTTTAGCCCTTCAGAGTGGGAGGTGGTGGCCTTCGCCTTGCCCAGGTGTGTCTGCTTTGTCTGGAACCAGGCAGGGGGCAGGAGCCTGCCCCAGGGGCGGGGCTGGGAAGGCATGTGTGGTGGGGTCTGCAAAGCAAGGCAGGAGGCGCCTCTCTCGGCTGGCAGGCCTGGGACGCAGGAGGCCCAGGCAGAGAGAGGGGAGGTGGGCACCCAGGGGGCCTTGGACAGAGGCCGAGGGCAGGTGGCTGGGGGAGGCACTTTAGAGCACCCAGCACCTCGCCCTGCTCCACCTGTGCTGTTGCCCCAGTTCCGGGGGCTCAGAAGCCCTCCACAGTCTGCAGCAGGTCCCCCGCCCTGTCCCTCCTCCGCCCTGCTCCTCTGGCCCCACCCCACAACACACCCATTCTGACTAGGGTCTTCCTCTCCTGCTTGTCCTCTGTCCCTGTCCCCTCTCCTCTGCTGCCTGCGTCCAGACTCTGGTCACCGTGAGCTCCAGGACCTGCTCTGCCCTGGGGTTTGGGGATGAACTTTCCATCTGCCAGTTTGACCAGCCCCCACCCAGTTTCAAAGCTGTCACTGTGCCCCCTTCCCTTGCAGCACCAGAGCGAGTTTGTGTCTCCCATGAACCTCTGCCAGCCACAGCCGGCTCCTCAGCCTCACTACCCTGCACTGCCCTGGCCCCCAGCCCCACAGTGCCACACTGCCACACCTCCGTGCCTTTGCACATGCTGCTGCTCAGCAGGCCCTCCCTCTGCCGCCACCACCACTCTCCTTGCTCCGTCGCGTCAGGCGGCCACAGCCCCTCTGCCCCTTCTTCCCTGGTGAGAAAGGCAGTGCTAGGGGGACTGCTTGTTTCTTGATTGTCCCTCTCCAGACCACAGGTGCCTTCAGGGCTGCGACACCCACTGTCTCCCCACTGCACCGTGTTCTCAGTCCCTATGTCGGGAGCTGGCACCAAGTAGCTACTCAGTCAATATTAAATGAAGGAATTAATGAATGAGGCCCTAATGAAAAGCTAAAAATGGACTGCCCCTCCCAAGGCCTGACCCACTTTCTGAGCCTCACAGCTGCTCAGGGAAGCAGCACTGATTCTTGTGACGTGCAGTGCTGTCACACCAACGAGCCTCTGACTGCACCAGGCTCTTGCCCCGGCAGAACAGGACCTCTGGACAGGGCAGGGGCCCCTGGCAGGACAGGCTGGCCCAGGCTGCTGGGCCCACGAGGACAGGAGGGAGGGTCCAGATCTCCGAGGGCCCTAGAGGCAGGCTGAGGGAGGCCCCCAGGGCTTCGGGGTCAGGCTGCCCTCCTGGGCACCAAGCCCCTCATGTCCCATGACTGAGAACTGGGGTTCCCTGACCCTGTTGAGCCTCAGTTTCCTCACCTGCAAAATGGAGTGGCATTGCTCATGAGCATGAGCCGGCATGGGGGCCGGCACACTTTTTCTACAAAGTGCTGGGTAGTAAATATTTTAAGCGCTGGGGGCCAAAACTGTCTCTGTTGCAAACACCCATGCGGCTCCGGCGTGGAGGCAGCGCAGACGAGATGTAAATGAACGCGCGTGGCTGTGCTCCAGCAAAACTCTATTTATGGACCCTAGGTTTTGAATTTCATATAACTTCACATGTCATGAGATGGTTTTTTATTTTTTCCCCAACCACTTAAAACCATAAAAAGAAAGCTTAGTTTGCAAGATGCACAAAAGCAGGCGGCCAGCCGGTTCAGTTCACTGGCCATGGTTGGCTGTCCCTGAATGACATCGCATCACTGTACGTTCTTGGCCTTCTGCCCTACAGGGAGACACTTGGATATTTGATATTAAAATAATTGCCTTCTTTAGGTGTTTACTCAACATAGAATATTTGTTAAGCAGCTATTAAATTTCAAGGCCATCTATAGATGGAGCTAGTTGCTGGAATGATGGAATGAGCTCCCCATGCCTAGGGGTGTGCAAGCAGAGTGGAACGACAGGACAGGGAAGCTGTACAGAGAATTCAGCTGTCAGGGAGGGAGTGTGAGGAAGTGCATCTAGCCTTCTTTTGGTCAGATAATGGATGAAGTGCAGGCCTACAGCTTCAGTTGAACCTGGGGAACTGGGCCCCATCTCCCTCCCTGGCCCCACCACTGGCACAGGGAACAATAATCAGGGGTAGAATAAAAGCCGATACCCATGTGCCCAGCAGCACATGATGCTAGGGCTCTGGGAGGCACCCACCCAGTTGTTACTGTCTGTTTGGGTCCCCAACGCCAGCCCTGAGACAAGGATTTGGGTAAGAGTGAGAAGGTGATTCCAGAAAGCATATGAGGAAGTGGGGGTGTGAGTTGGGGTGGGTGGCAGGTTTACAAAGGATGTGTTAATGAGCAAGTACCATTGTGGCCACCTGGGGCTCAGCCTCTCAAGAACCCTCAGAGGGAGGGTAGGGGGCACACCTGGGCTGTCCCATAGCCAGAGGATGAAGCTGGGTACTTATCCTCCACGCCTGCCCCTTGGTGGTTGAGGGTTTGCTCCTGGGCTGTTGCCTCGGGCCCAGCTCGCCTACCTGGTGCCCCAAGGTCAAGGCACACTCCTGTGGCCAGAACCCCTGCACCCCATTCAGAAGCTGACTGAGTGTCCAGACATTGCCTACAGGCTCCAGTACCTTCAGGGCAGGCCAAGGGCATGACCAGGAACAGGCCGAGGACCTAACTCACACCGGCTCTCGCTCCAGACTTGCATGGGGCCCCTGCTGTAAACACAAAACCAGACCTAGGCACCCCACCTCCCCATTCCATGTCTCTGAGTCACGTGGCTGCAGCTGCAAGCCTTTCCCAACTGGGAGTTGACCTCCTCACTGCAACACGTCGGGGTTGTCACGGGGACTCAATGAGATGACCTGTGTGAGCGCAGCAGACAGGTCCTACACATCGTAGGCACTCAGTAACGACTGCCTCATCACGCTGCAACCTTGGTGGCCCATGTCTCTGGCCAACTGAGCCTTGATTTTTCGCAATTGACCCCAATCCTGCTGTAAGAGTGGCCACAGTTGGCTTAAGCCAATGAGCATGTCTCACCTCTGGCTATTGTGATTGATCAGGGATGGGCATGTGACATAATTCTAGCCAATAACACAGGAAGTTTTAGGATATGGTTGGTGCTCCTAAAAATGACTCTCTGCCCCATGATGGTGTGATGGGGAGATTTAAGTGTGTGAGTTTGTGCTGAGGTGGACATTTTGCTACCAAGAGAAGATCAGCAAGGGTTGCTGGGGGCACCAAGGATGAAACCAGGTAGAGAGACAAAGTACAGCTGTGTTTATAGTAATCGTGTTTTGAACTGCTGCATCAAGCCTTACCTGAAGCCTCTAACTTCTCAGTTACATAAACTAATAAATTCCCTCTATGTTAAAGCCCCCAGATGTTGTTTTTGTGTTTTGGGGATTTTTTGGCCCTCACAACCTAGGGTCCTATGACAAATAGAGCATCTCCCCTGGCTGCCTGTGGCCCAAGGGTAGGGCTGTAAAATATTGGATTCACTGAATGGACGCAAAGAGCAAGGCCCTTCCAGCCTAGGCTGGTGGGCAGAAGAGGGAGCTGAAAAGCTCAGTTGGCCTCCTGCTCATGGCTGCTGCAAAGTCATTCTCTGTCAGCTCCTAGGAAGCCTTGAGGACATCACAGAGACTCCGTGGACGACTGCCGGCTTGGCGGCAGGCCAGGAGCCTCGGGCTATGAGCACACTCCCTAGAGGCAGGGCGAGGGCAGCGAAGAAAGTGGGCAACACCTACATGCACATTTTCCCGCTGCTGGCATACTGCTTGGCAAACACAGCCCACATAGGCCACACAGGGGTTCTTCCCTTCCGCCTCTGTAATTTCAGAAGTGGAGAAAACCTCCAGTGACAGGGTCCACGATTATCCCTTTGCAAAGCCTCAGAGCTGCTCCCAGCAGGAAAGCAGAGGGTGGGGGGAGGAGCGAGGAGTGTGAGAGGGAGACGGAGGCTGGGAGTCCTGGGCCTCCACGAGAGCTTAGAAATCTCCAACTTGGCTTAACACAGTTCACACGTGTGCCTCCAGAGATGTTGGCAAAGAGGACGGTGTGAGAATTGTGGGGTTTTCTTTTTGTAATAATAACAGCAAAGTAGCCACCATGTACTCAGCATCTAACCCACGCCTGGGCTGGTGCATGGGACAGGTTAGAGCTGGCTTCCAGGGCAGGGATGGTGCCCACAGGATGTCAGAGCCAGCTTTTGAGGTATCATCTGCTCAGTGTGTGGGTGACATGGTGGCCCTGAAGCCCCAGAAAAGGCCAAATAGAGATCAAGTAAATGCCCAGAGCCAGAGGGCATGGCCTCTTTAATGCCTGGGAGCCTGGTGACCCACCACCCATCGAGGGCAGAGCAGTGGCAGTTACTAAGTGAGGTGGGCACCATGGTGGGCATTTTACATTCCTTTTAATAATCCCTGGGTCATCAATAATTAGACCTACTTTAAAAGGGTTAACCTGCAGGCTGAGAGACAGGGTAATGTACCCAAGGTCACCCAGACCCTCCGAAGCAGAACAGGATGTGAACCCTGCTCTGAGGCCCACAGAGCTGGACAAGCCCACCCCGCTGTCTCCTTTGGGTACTCACGTGTCCTCCTCAAAGCTGCTTCTCACCCCACCCTGTTTGCCCATCCCTCCCCCTGCCACTTCCACCTGTCCACCCCTCCTCGAAGTTATCCTCTACTGAATTCCCATGGGCTCAGCACCCAGGAGTTGGTGTGGGGGTTGGGGGGCAGGCATCCAGCAGGGACGGCAAGCCATGCACAGAGGAGCCAGGGGACCTGCCAGGCAGAGGCTTCCCGCCACTGTGCACATAATGGGCCCTTAGAGTTATGCTCTGGTACCCTCCTGGGCTCATCTTTTGAAATCCAAATAGTAGGGCAGGACCCCCAGGTACCCCGGGTTTCTTGATTGTGTCCTCTCTGCCCCCAGTCACACTCTCGTCTGTGCTCGGAGAGCGGCTCACCCGGAGAGAAGCAGGCAGCTACCTCCCCTGCCGCTTGACCCCACCTTCCTCTTCTGGGCCCTGGCCGCTACAGGGTCTTCCACAGCCTTGCCCAGGAGCTGCTGCAAGGTGACACGGCCCGGTGCATGGCGACGAAGACAGAGGTGTTGGAGAGCTTCTGGGTGGCCTGCCGAGATGCCATCTGCTGCTCTGCTTGGAGCTCGGCGGCTGCAGAGAGGAGCGTGAGCGGGCAGCAAAGATGGCAGGGAGCTGGGCTGGCAGCACCCCCAGTGAGGGCAGAGCCAGGGACACAGCCTGAAACCAGAGCAGGGGCCACACCTCGCTGCGCCAACAGGCCTGCAGACCCAGCAGGGGGGAAGGAGGAAGGGCAGCTCATTATTGCCTTTTATTCCATTTCAGAAAAGTACACGAACAAAGAGCACACAGCTGTGCACCCACCACACAGAAATGACAATCGCTAGCATTTTGTTCCAATTGTTTTTAGTCTTTCTCTTTTTTAATGTAAAATATAGAATTGTTTCAGATAATATTGAAGTCCTCTGTGTGCCCCAGGGTGGGGTAAGGACCATTCAAACCCATACATTTTTTGCCATCAACACCCCCTCCCCTTCAAGGGAGGGAACCAGGCACTTCTGGAGGGCATGGTGTGCCCATACTGATTCAGGGTCCTCTACCAGGAGCCCCCCCTCTCCTCATGGCTGTGTGGCAAGTGGTGATTCTTGTCCCTGCTTTACCGCAAGAGACATCACCACGTACAATGTGGCTGCCTCAAGCCATAAGAAAGCATGTTACCTGAGGAAGAGGATGTGGGGTGGGTTAGCCTGGTGCCCTGAGAAGCACAGGCAGGGTCAGGAAGCAGAGCCCGGGGCAAAGACTACCCAGGCCGCTTCAGAGGGGGGAGGGGTGAGCCAGGCTCAGGGCAGGACACGGAACAGCCAGCGGATGGGGGAGGGCCAGCTTCCTCACTCCCACTGTGGGGCAGCGTCCTCTGGGCACTCGGGCTGGACATCTGCGGGGCGAGCAGAATTAGGGTGTGCTGGGATGAGGGGCTGTACCCATTAGAATTAGGTCTGGGGTCAAATGTGCCCTTGACTGAGGGCTGACTTAGGTCTGACTATAAAGTAAGCCTTGAAAGGCTCAAACTGTCTCCAAGTAGCTTAACTGCAGCTCAGAACACAGCCAAAAATATTTAAAGAAATATGGAAAACTCCAGCACCTAACAAAGTAAAATGACAATGCCTGGCATCCAATGAAGAATTACCAGGAATGCTAAGAAGGAGGAAAATGTGACCCATAATAATAAGAAAAATAAATCAGTAGAAACATCCAGAAATGAAAAGGAATGAGGAAAATGGATAGTAAAACAGGTGTATGTCCAAGAAGGTAGAGGAAATCACGGACAGGAAGAAGAGACAAATAGGATATATCTTGAAAATATCTTTCAAACTTGGACTTTTTCAAACCTTCAAAACTGAAGGGAATTTATCACCAGCAGACCAGCTCTGAGGACTAAAGAGACTCCTTCAAGAGAAGAAATCTGGATCTACACAAAGAAATGAGGAGCACCAGAAATGACTATTATGCGGGTGAATATAAAAAGTATTTTTCTTATTTTTTAAGATCTCCGACTAGATACTTTACAGTTTGAAGGAAAAAGAAAAACATTCTACTGTGGACCTTATAACTTACATAGAATATATGGCAAAACAACCCAAAATCATTGAATGGGTGGAAATGGAAGTATATTGTGGCAATGTTCTTATATTACTAATGAGGTAATATCATATTGTTTGAAGGTAGAGTTTGATAAGTTGAAGATGGATACGGAACTGCTAGACAACAGTAACACATACACCACCAAAGAAGGAGAGCTACTAAGCCAGGAAAATGGTCAAATGGAATAATGAATACTACTCGACAAGAACTCAGGAAAATAGAAAAAGGGAACAAAGAACAGATGGGCCGAATGGAAAATAATTATTAAGATTACGTATTTTAACTGACTAGAATAATAATACTAAATGTAAGTTGTCTGAAGTCACCAATTAAAAAGCAGAGGGTATATGATAGGATGAGAAAGCAAGACCCAGTTACACAGTGTCTATAAGAAACCCACTCTAAGTATAAAGATAGATTACCATAAAAAATGTAGAAGGAAATATACTATATTAACACTGATCAAAAGAAAGCTGGAGCGACTATACTAACATCATACAAAGTAGATTTAAGAGGAAAGGACATCATTAGGAATAAAAAGTGTTCTTTCATAGTCATAAAGAGTTCAATTCCTCAAGAGTTCACCACAATTTTAAATATTCACGCACCTATAACAAAGCTTTAAAGTGCATGATGCAAAAACTGAGCACTGTAAAGGGAAATAAATCCACAATTATAATTGGAGATTTCGACACTACACTCTCAATAATTGATAAGCCCAGACAGAAAACCAGTATGGATATAGAAGATCTGAGTGACGCTCAGTGAACTTGGCATTTGTAGAACACTCTACTAAACAACAGCATTCTTCTTAAGCCCACACAAAACATTTAGCAAAATAAAACATATTTTAGGCAATAATAAGTCTCAATAAAATTTAAAGGATTGAAATCCTATGAAGTATGCTCTCCTATCATGATGAAATTAAATTAGAAATCAATAACAGAGATACGCCTGGAAAATCACTTGGTTCCCTCCAGGGCCAGGTAGTCACTCACCACTTCTCTCACGTTTTGCCTTGAGCCATCAAAAGTTCTTTATCTTGCCCAGGGTGACCAACTTATCCTGGCTTGCTCAAGATTGCCCCATTTTAAAGTTGAAAGGTCCATATCCCCAGAAGCCCCTCAGTCCTGAGCAAGTTGGATCAGTCTCTATGTCCCAGCCAGCCCCAGCCACCAGCCCCTCTGGCCCCAGAGGAGCACATGGGGGTAACGAACCCCAGCCGCGGCACCACTGAGTTGGGAGATTTGGTAGTGTCGCCCCTGAGTCTGACCGCCTTGAGGTGAACACTTTCCTGACCCCCTTCTGCTCGGGGAAGGTCTCCATCACTTCACCTTCCGGACCCTTCCCTTGGCTGGCCCTGCTTGTGGACAAGTGAGGCGTTGGCTATGGGGAAGGGGTTGGCAGACAGTGTGGCAGACAGACCTCGGTTCAAGTCCCAGCCTCTTTACTTGCGCTGAGCCTGTTTATCTAATCCTCCGGGGGGGCGCTGAGACTCCCTTCCTCGGGGGGCTGCTGTTGGACCAGCACTGATGCACACGGAGGCCGCACTGGGCAGAGCTCACTGTACTATGGCTTTGAGCCCCTTGCTTTCAATGTGTGGAGACCAGAGTGAACCCACTGCCCTGCTTTTGGGGTCACCAGTATGGGGGCCAGATAAAAAGGAGCTTGAGATGCACAAGGGCC